TCTCTCTCTCTCTCTCTCTCTCTCTCTCTCTCTCTCTCTCTCTCTCTCTCTCTCCCTCTTCAAAAGCATTCATTATTTAAGTGGAGCGGGATATGCATCCATCAGGCAGATAATTCACCTTTCAATCAAAGGCCGGGACACACTGGGACGCACTTTTTGTTTAAAACTTAAGAATTCCAGGTGCAGAAACAAAAATCAGTTTGGATTAGATGCCTGTCAGTGATTCTGCGCTACGAGGAGCGGCTCAGACCCGAGGAAGGATATAAAAACAGGATTAAGTTGGGTTTTTGTTAAAGTTTTTTTTTTTCTGTTGTTGTTGTTTTGCTTCTGTGCCTCATCATGCCGAGATACAACTTTTTATTGTGCTTAGTGGTGCTGATCTTCCTGGGACTGTCAGGGAGCGATGAGCCCAATCTGCTGCTGCCTCCTGCCAGCGAGACGCCCACGGATGCTGCAGCTGGGGTGTCCCTGCTGGACGAGGACGCCGCCGGTTCCCACGAGTGCTCCGCCTGCGTGTGGAGGGAGCAGAGCAAAGTGCTGCGCCTGGAGACCATCAAGTCCCAGATCCTGAGCAAGCTGCGTCTGAAGCAGGCGCCCAACATCAGCCGGGAGGTGGTCAACCAGCTGCTGCCCAAGGCGCCGCCGCTCCAGCAGCTCCTGGACCATCACGACTTCCAGGGCGACGCGTCGGCCCAGGACGAGATCATGGAGGAGGACGAGTACCACGCCACCACGGAGTCGGTCATCACCATGGCCTCCGAGCGTGAGTAACAACTGCATGCACCCCCACGCCCCCGCCCCCATGCACCCTGTACCCAGCAGAGGTATGAATGTCTCCAGGTGCGCACTCGCCCGCGCGTAATGGAGCGGATAGGTTCGGGGTGAGCCGCGCGTCCTGCTTATTCAAATGGGGTGACTTAATTTTTTGGGGGGGTTGAGGGTGTCCCTTTGACCATCTGAAGCTGTCCGATAAGATTAGACAAATGACTCAGCTGTTGCCCACGGCTGTCAACGTAAGGTTCGTGCGTAAATCTGACGAATCAATACGCATAAATCCTCAGCTCCTGCAGAATGACAATAAAAATGATGATGATGGAGCAGAGTGCAACCTTCGTGTTTAGCTGTCAGGTTCAGACTTTCTCTTTGTTTACATGTTTGATTGAGAAGAAATGCACGTTTGGATGTTTTCATGATAACGCAACATTTTGGAAACACGTCTTATTTTGGCTAAAACAGCATTCTGCTTAATCAGCTCATTTTCATTATGGCGTCCTGTGTGACAGTTTCCTCACCATTTCATACTTTCCCCATAAATCCAACAGGCTGCCCTCCCTCCACCCTTTCCACACACACACACACACACACACACACACACACACAC